ACTCCTCCCTGCCCCGTGCTCTCCTTCCTCCATGCCTGGCTGAGCCCCAGGGATGGATCCCTCTCCTGATACTTGGTTCTGTATCTTAGCAAGGCAAAATGTGTGTGGGGGGGGGCATGCAGGGTCACAGGTCCCCACTCCCAGATTTGAGGGTTCACACCAGGCCATGGCCATCAGCAGCAGCTTTTCAGCACTGTGCAGGAGGGAAGGAATGGGAGCTGCTTCCAGCTGTGGATGATTTGGCCTGTATCTTTGCAGAAATCACCCCTCCCCCCCCATTCCTGTAGCTAGAAGCAGCTTGTCCCTTCTTGCCCATAGAAAGGTAGGTAAGACCAAGCTGCTGCTGCTGCCACTGCAGTAACTCAATCACCTTCTGTGCCCTGGCTAAGGAGGTTAAATATTGTTAATTGAATAATTGAGTAACCTCATGAATTCTTATTGGTTAGTCGACTATTCTGTAGTCCCTGGGAGCAGGGCTGGCAGCCAGTGTGCTCCAGCCTCACTTCCGAGACGATCCCTGCCACTCCGCACTGCACATTGCAGCTCTGCCTGACCATCACCCTTTCACACCCACCCCACAGGCAACTGGTGACCAACTATCCACTCAGCAGTAGGACCCACCAGTACCGATGAGAGGAGAAGAGAAAATATGGGACAATTTGCCTATTTTTTTTTTAAATTAGGGATAGCCGCAGGAAGATTTAATACAGGACTGTCCCTTTAAAAACAGGACAGGTTTAATACAAGACTGTCCCTTTAAAAACAGGACAGCTGTGTCATCCTAGCTCTTACAACTGATGTGCATTTCAAAAGTGGGAAATTGCTCAGATTATAGGTTGTGCACCAGAGGTTTTTATGAACTCGGGCCCTAGGTAGGCTTCAGTAAGTACTACTGCTAAAACGTTAATTGGATTTTAAGACTTTGCCCTTTGCTCCTGTTTGAGCCCAAGACCACTATAGCTTTTAGTTGGAAGGTTTCTCAGATGCTCTAGATACACACACCCCGCTGGCCCTTTTACTAAGCTGCCTTCAGAAGACTCGACTTGGCCAAGAAACTAGAGAATAATGGTCCACTTTGTCAATGTGAAGGGAAGCAATGCCCTTATTTGCCACCCCACGGTCAGGAACACCTTTTAGAGCACTATGGCTCTTTTGTCATTCCCAGACTACTAACAACTTGAATTTTTCATTTTAATTTGAAGGTTTAAAAAGTGTAATTGCTCATGTTATGATTTTTTTGGTCTATTTCACCTTTAACTGTTCATTTTAACAATCAGCACTCCTCTCTGCTCATTGGGGATCATACATACTCTGATTGGTTATTAAGTCTTTCCATCATGTGTCATGGTGAACTCTGAGCCCTAGCAGTAAAAATAGCTAAGCAAAAGAGAAGATATGTACCAGCATAAAACCACATGAATGTGACAAAACATGCATTTGCTACAAAAATACTGAGGGTGATGCACAAGAGCCTGAGGAGCTGCAGCAAAAAAATGAATACCACACAAAATAGCTTAGGTGGGAGCTTAGACTCAAGTTTTGTAGGTCATCGTTCAAAAGGGGAAGCCTTTTTATGATACATTATGCAAAGAGATGCATGCTAACAATTGGTCTAACTATTTGACAAGTTTTGCAATCAGGACGCATGCATCTCTTTGCATAATGTAACAATTGGTCTAACTATTTGACAAGTTTTGCAATCAGGACAATCTTACAGAAAATTAAAGATATGCCATTATTGGTTAAAAACAGTTCATGACAAAGCTATGAAAATGGCCCATCAAATTGACAAGTAAATGCAAAATTGGAATACAGCTACTTTCATGTGCTTTGGATAAGACAACCAACACCAAGCAGTTGTGTATTCTGGGACAATATATTTTTGGAAATGCCGGGCATGAAGAAATGATTGACATATTACCAATGAGGGGCAGGGAGGGAGGAGAAGGGAGATCAAACAAGGGGCAAAGACATCCTGAAAACTGTGATGAACTCTGTAAAGTGAGAAAGATACAGTTGGATAATCTTTGTTTGCATGCACAGATTGCTGACCATGCTAGGTGCACAAATACAGGGGATTCCTTCAGCTGTTCTGACAAGAGTAACTGCTCACTTTTGAACTTTCATTGCAGTATGCATCAGGAGGCACTTTGGCATCTTGTGGAACTGAACTTGGAAGTGTAATAGGACTTGTCATTGAAGAACCAAACTGGACAGTAATTCCAGACATCTGTCAGCAGTTTGGAAGTGGAACTAGCAATTTCAAGGAGCCAGATACCTGGGTGGAAAAATTCATCCAGCTGAATTCTGATTTACAATGCCTTGCTTGACAACATGAACATCCAGCTGAATTCTGATTTACAGTGCCTTGCTTGACAACATGAAGAATTGGCAAAATGGCATAAGTGGGCTGTCATGAAGACATTGGAGCATGATGATAATTGTATTTTGATTCCACCTATATGGAGGCAGGTTCTCATTTGAATCACTTCAAGGATACTTTGCACTCAAGATTGACCAAGTACAGCCTGAATGCAGGCATGAAGCTGAATTTGACCACTTATGATGTAAACTTCAAAGAAATGTGCGAGAAGATGCAGGAGCAGAAATCCCATTCAATAAAGTCCTTGAGTACAGCGTTTCATTTATGGTATTAATCATGTCAGTTAGTAATAATAAATTGTATATTTTCAGTCATGCAAATAGGAATTCTTATACTGGCTGTGTTGACCACTGGTTCTGAATTATGATGTAGTTTGGCTCTTTGGTTTGAAAAGGTTGCTGACCCTTGTTCTAGAGCAATTTTGCTATGCTCTTTCAAACACATGGGCTGCGTCTAGACTGGCATGATTTTGCGGAAATACTTTTAATGGAAAAGTTTGTCTGTTAAAAGTATTTCCACAAAAGAGCATCTATATTGGCAAGTGCCTTTGCGCAAAAGCATCTGTGCCCAGTATAGACGCGGTTTTGCGCAAGAAAGCTCAGGCAGCCATTTTCACCATTGGGGCTTTCTTACGCAAAAAATTCCTGTCCACACTGGCCCTCTTGCTTTTTTCCCCCTGAGCGGGAGCATCAGAGTTCTTGCACAAGAACACTGAAAAATCTTACATTAGATCGTCAGTGTTCTTGCGCAAATTCTCGCAGCCAGTTTAGACAGCTGGCAAGATTCTGCGCAAAGGCAGCTGCTTTTGCTCAAAATCTTGCCAGTCTAGACACACCCATGTTGAATAGAATCACTGTTCACCTACCTATTAACTGGCAGCAGTAGCACACCCACAACAGGTACTAATAGGAACTTAAGTTGGTACCTCGCTTCCTACACTGAGCCAGGCTACCATAAAAAAATAGAAAAATGCTATCACTAACAGCCTGTACACTCCAATATTTGTTTAAGCACAGTAATGAGGTCCCACTCCCTGTCTTCTGAAGATTCAGAAGAGCTACTATGGAGTAGTATGAGCAACTCTTGGCCCAACAAGTTTTTGAGAATTACAGTCCATGTGATTTTTCCAACATAATACATTTTGCAGAAAGGAAAAGAGCTCTTTAAATTTAAATGTTTACTATGAACACAGTTGCAGTCACTAGTATAAAAACTTCTGAAGTTACATGAAGATAAAAAGATGTACTGCCTTTATATGACCAGAAACGTTCACCTTTTACACCAATACCCCAAGGCAACAGCAGGGCCTGGAGGAATGAAGACAAAGGTCTTGCCAATAATTTCCCATGTGTCCTTAGGCATGCCACCTCATCTTTCCGGTTCAATGACCCCCTGTATTCAAAGGTATGTTTGAGATGAACTTTGAAGATTAGCTAAAGACAAATGTTTAATGTTTATGACTCAAATACACATTTAAAATATTTTTACCTCACCTCTATTTAAAATATTTTAGGTGGCTTACGAAGTTTAACACACAATATATAGAACAAATTAAAATAGAGACCCCAGAGGGACATGAAAACTGCTAAACTCTCCCTTCCTCCAATAAAAGAATGAATAAAAAGGGTGGCTTTAGCCGAACGCAGAAACAATACTAATGGTGGCACCATGCAAATATCCTGGGGGAAGAGAATTCCACAGCCTGGGAGCAAAATCTGAGACGCAGAAACAATAATTGTATGTTGTTTCTACAATCTCAGTTTGAAACAAGTTTAATTTACTGTAGTTTGGCCATGTTCCACATTGATGTTAATCTTAGCTCCATAAATGGGGGGGGAACACTGAGCAGACTTCCCCAGCTAACCTCAATCCCTGGGCAGGTTCACACGAGAGACGATGGTCCTTCAGATACAATCTGTCAAACTTGGGTATGTTGTTTCTACAATCTCAGTTTGAAACAAGTTTAATTTACTGTAGTTCATAGAACAAAGTAGTTAACTGACTATTATGGCAATAGGGTCTATTCCTAGTCTTGATACAGCCAAGCAAGGAGCTGCATCACTTCAGTGATGCTGTAAATGGTGGAAGGAAGAGGGAATAATGTGAGAGAAGCAGTTTTAAATCCACTCAAATGCTCTACTACAAATAGGAGATCCTAATATACTTCCCTTTTCAAAATGCAGCAGAGATGAAAGACACGTGGATTTAGAAGCCTGCGTTGCCTTTTCAGCCTTGACAAGAAGATGCAGTAATTCTGTATTTTAAGTGATATTTGTATAGTTTCTCCTAGTCGCCTCACTGCCCAAACATCTATTCACTTGTCTTGTGGATCAGTCTAGTTTTGACAGTAGAAAAGTTTTAGGTCAACCAATACAACAGTCACAACCTCTTTACGTCACAGGATATTGCCCATAACTACTGGGCACGAAACAAGTATTATTAGCCTGCCAGCCAGACAATACTGGCCCTTCAGAAGTTGACAATTGTGACCAATGTGTTTTAATGCACAGAAATCAGCTCTGTGAGCAGGTCCCTCCCCCATCTTAGTCACCTACTATGTAAACCACACACACATTTAGGTCTAAGCTAAGAAAGATGAACATTCCAGTTGGGTTACACGTGGTATTTTGGAACATTTTATTTTGTACACATGACAAGATTTTACACCAAGAATAGTCAGTTAAATAGTACAAATTTACATTCATGAGGAATGTTTTAAAAAATTAAACTTAAAAAATCCTCCTCAGCCCATAACCCCACAACACCACCCCCTTAACATTTTACAGTGAAAAACTGAACAATCTAATTCACATTCCCTCCTCACCCCAGGCAGGATGCTAGTTGAGTGCTGTTTACAGTTCATCTTTTACATCTGTAGATTCCTGCAAAGATGAGAGAAAATTAAGTTTGTCTTGAAACCATTTAAAAAGATACTTTGAGATTATAGGTCTGTGTCTGCATACCAAAAGCCATGGCTTTCAAAAGCCAGTTTCTGCAGTACATTTGCCAAATCTCATTTTCATAGCACTTGTAATGCTTATGACTGAAGACATTTTTAGTCTTTTAAAAAACTGTGTGTGTTTACACTAATTTAATTCCAAGAGGCAGGCAACTGATGGGAGATCTTAAGATCATCCTGACCCTACAGGTGCTCCCGTGGTGTTTACTTATCCAAATGGAGGGAGCAGATGACCGGTTATTTAAATTAAAACAATTTTTAAGAAGCCTTTCAGATCCTTTAAATCAATGCAGCAAAAAGGCACAAAATCCAACTTGTCCACGATAGGCCACTTTTGGAATGCAAATTATGATTTGGAATGCAATTATGATGGTGGTTCATCTCTGCAAAATTTGTAACTTAGGAAGAAACAAGTTGACCAATGCTGAAAGTATATTAGCTCTCTGGTTCATGACTGTTGAGCTCTTAACAGGAGCTTTATAGGGATGACTAGCAAATCAAAGTACAATGGAGTTCCTGTTCACAGCAGTATTGTTGCAGCAGTTCAGAGTAGGCTTTGCAAGTACAGTCAACTTCTGATAATCCGGCACCTTTAGGACCCAGGGGGTGCCGGATTATCAGATATGCCGGACTATCATAAGGGGGGGCTATGAGGGGTCTGGAGTGGGGTGGGAGGGGATGCCACCCCAGACCCCTCATAGCCCCCCCTTACGATAGTCCAGCTCTGCCCCAGGCATCCCTGATTCAGCTGCTGCTGGTCAGTTTCAGCAGCAGATGAATCCGGTATGCCTGCAATAGAGCACCTGGGGTGCTGCTGGGTTGGTCCCGTAGCACCGAGGGGCGGTGGGAGGGCG